TTACTTTTATTTCTGATACCAACTTTTTCTCCATTTCCATTTATTTGAAAGTTCATCTTTTGCCACAGATTTAAAATTTTATGTTTCTATGTTGTAAATTTGTCTGTGAATTTGGATTCATTTCTAGATTTTTCTATTTCTCTATTCTCTTTCATTGTATGCTTCTGTTCTTGTGTCTATATGACACCCCTTTTTTTAAAAAAAAAATGGTTTTACTTATTTAGGCCTCTCGTACACTACTCCACATGCATTTAATAATTTGATCAGTTATGACATGTGTATATCTTGGTAAAAACATCACACAATAAAAGTCATGAAAAAACATTTTCTTGTGCCCTTTTTTTGTGCCCACATTCCTCACCAAGCAACAGATATGTTTTCTATCATTATACCTTGGAGTGTCTCAAATTTTGATCATATGTAAATATACTCATTTTGTCTTTTGCTCAGCATAGTTATTTTGAGACACATTTATTTGTTGCCTTTAATCATTAGTCTTTTTTATTGATGATAATTTTGTTATATAAACATTACTTGACATCCATTTATCTGTCTTTGGACATTTGAGTTGCTTCCAGTTTTTGACTATTATAGCTACTGTGTGAACATTTATGTGTAAAGCTGTGTGTATATATGCTTTTACATCCTTTAGGTGGGATGGAACAACTGATGTTTTTGGAAATTACTAGACTATTACCCAAAGTGCTTGTACTATTTTGTATTTCCACAAGAAGTGCGTGAGTTTTTTGTTTTTTTTGTTTTTGGCTCATCCATGTCCTCATCAACACTTGGTATTGTGGCTGTATAATTTTAGGCAATCTTATATATAAAGGAAAATATAGAGACGTGTACTTTGTAAATATATATAAATGAAATGCCTAAATTTTCATTAAACATTGGTCTAGATGCGGCTCTCAAGTTATGGTTTACATATAGTCAACAAGCAAATCAGACTTGAGTAGATTACTCTCTAGTCAAGTGGTGAACTCATCCTATTATTTGAACGCCTCCAGAGCAAAGTCTGAGGTTTTCCAAAGAAGTATTTCTCCCTGAGATTTAAACTTAGAAAGCTTGCCTGAGTTTTCAGCCAGGGGAATTCAGACTCAAGACTAGAATCTTATCTCTTGCTGAATTTACAGCCTATGAAGCCTATTTTATGATTTCGAATTTACCATCCCTCACAATCATGTGAGTCTATTCCTTTAAATAAATCATTCTCTCTTTATAAAAAAGTATAGCTGTATCATATTGTGGTTAATTTCCAACTCCATTAAGATACAAATTAAAAATTAAAAAAAAATCTTTCCATATGCTAGTTTAGTCCTTTTCCATAAAATGTCTGCACAAATATTTTGCCTACTTTATATAAATGTATATATAAATATATTTATACAATGTACATTCGTGCACATCTCTCTGTATAGTTCATCTTATTAATGTGAATTCATTTCATATTCTAGCTGTAAGCTCTTTGCCAGATACATATTTATCAAATGTCTTCTCACAGTCTGTGGATTCTCTTAATATTATCTTTTGAAAAGAATATTAATGAAGTCCAGCTTATTTGCTTTTAATTTATTCTTGTTGTATTTAAATAGATTTGGAGACAACTTTACAACATTGATTTTTACAATAGGTAAATATATCATATTGTATGGTCTGAATGCCCCCTTCCCCCCAATTCATGTGTTGAAATTTCATTCCCATTGTAGTGGTATTAAGATGGGGCCTGAGAATGTAACCACCATTTAACCCAGCTATCCACTCCTTGGTTTATACCCAAGGGACTTAAAAATCAGCATATTATAGTGATGCAACCACACAATGTTTATAGAAGCTCAATTCACAATAGCTAGACTATGGAACCAGCCTAGCAGTCCCTCAATAGATGAATGGATAAAGAAAATGTAGTATATATACTCAGTGGAATATGACTCAGCTTTAAAGAAGAGTAAAGTTATGGAATTTGCCAGTAAATGGTTGGATTTGGGAATATCATGCTAAGCGAAATAAGTCAATCCCACAAAATCAAAGGCCGAATGTTTTCTCTAATATGTGGATGTTAATTCACAATAAGGCGGGGGGGGGGAGCACTAGGGAAGAATGTGTTACCTTAGATTAGGTAGAGGGAAGGGATGGGAGGGAAGGGGAGGGGATGTGAGGATAGGAAAGACAGTAGAATGAAACAGACATT